CATAAAAGTTAAGGGACTTATCCGAAAGCACACAGCCAATTCAATACCAAGCCCAGCCCCAAACCGGGCTGTCCACATTCTCGGTCAAGACCTTAAAATGTTCCTTCACCAAATCATCGGGGATGAGACTTGGGGTTTCTGGGTCCCTGCCCTGTGGGAGCAGCAAGCTGCCCTGTTTCTTCAGTGTGGAATTAATGGGTCCTGCTTTTTTAAAATGTGCCTCCAGTGCATAATAAATGTAAACCGATAAATATCTACCAATGATCACAAATGACATATTTAGGCATGTGTCCAGGTGTATGAGTAATTTAGAGCTTTCAAAGTTTGACACATGCCCCAAGGTATCGTTGCTACATCTGTTGCACAACCTTCATGCTCTTTAAAAACATGTTTAAATATTCATGGGTATCAGAAAATTCATGTTTGTTTTTGAAGTAAATTATTAATCAAGCTGTCACCAAAAGAAATTTTTTTTTGCATTTATAATAATACAAAGCGTAAATGTGAAACATGAAATAATCACATTATATTTAAAGAGTGTGTTCGCAGTAGTGTAATCCCACGTAGCGTTTTTACGTGGAGATGCTGTTTTACAGCAATCATCTTACATTTCTGCATTTGCAGTTAGAGGAAGTGAGAGACACGGTGATAATAAGTAAGCACGAAACTAAGCAAAGCCACAGTTGATCACGGAGCTCAAGGCTGACGAGGTTATTATGAATAATTGGACCCCACTGTCTTGCAGCCTGTGCTAGGATTTTCATATTACAACGAATCACCTTTTTCTAGAGCTTCTCCCAAACCTCAAAGTATGACTCCTTTGACTTCCTTTTTGCCTTCTTTGGGAATGTTGAGAAGTAGTCCGAAAGAGAAAATTGGGAGATAGAACAAGGAGGAAAGGCCAGAGTCGTCCTCGGTGAAAATCCAGTTGATCAAATAAATGAAAGCAACACTCGAGAGAGGAGATGATCACTTTACACACTAATAATTCTCAGTTTATGTGCATATATTTGCAAAAATGATGATCTTGTTGATCCTTAAGATGCAGTCCTGGTAGCCTTATTTTTTTAAATGTGATTTAAAATATGTAAATGGAAAGTCATTGATTTATACATTTGTCTGTAATTTTACTTTTCAGTTACTTTGATTCAAATCTAAAAACATGGAGCTAAAAATGTTCAGATGGAGAAAATGCTTTTATTCGGTCATGAATATAATGTTTGTGCTCAATGAGCAAGTGCATGGCCTTTCCAAAGAATTATTCTATGTCTTTGCTTTTATGCATAAAATGCCTCAATTATACGTTATTTGAATGGTAGAAAAAGTTCTCACCACCACCATTCTATGGGACCAAAATAAGTATCGTGTAGGTTTTAACTGAAGACAATGACTTTAATCTTCTAAATTCAGGGCCAAATTTCATTTCCCATCCTTCAGTGTTTTTGAATTGAGAGGCCATTTGCTTAACATTTGGCTATCTCATCATTGTGCTGGGTTCCTCGAATTTCCTTTAGGGAAATGCTACAGAGTGCCGGTCGGAATACTGTGTTGTAGATGTTGCCAGGGTAAATGCAATCCGGGCCTTTATTGTTAGTTCATCTCAGATGAACATGTCTCTAAAGAAATCATAAATCAACCTCCTGTATTCTAAATACCTTTAAAGTCACAGTAAGTCTTTTTCATGGCTTCAGTGAGGTTTTCTGTTTTTTCCTATCCTCACCTGTGACTTCTGCTCTAGCCAAAGGGTGAGTTCCTTTAGTGAATCCCCGCATCTTTACCTCTGTGAGTTTCCCCTTCATATTAACCCAACCCCTTTTAATATCAAGGGCTGCAGGGCTGCCCCTCAAGCATACTTCTAACGAGCTGCCTGAAATCTCCAGCAACCGTGCAAGCTTGGGCTAGTCCTTGCTTCAAAGCAATTACTGGCAGTTATTTAAAGGAGAGAAACAAGACTAGTCTAAGAATCCTCCACTTCTTTTAAAACAAAAACACACCTAATAATCCCAGCAATTGGGGCAGCCC